ATACTTCTGGTTTGACCATGTGTGTGTAAGAGAGTTGAACATGTCCCATCATACTTCTGGTTTGACCATGTATGTGTAAGATATATAAACATGTCCCATCCTACTCCTGTGTGCCCACATATGTGTATAGATAGATGAACACGTCCCGTTACACTTCTGGTGCGACCACATAATTTTATTAACATTTCTTATAAAATACAATCAAACTTTTATGTCTCTGCATCTAAAAACAAATGAGAAATATGTTTGGTGTTTGAACAACGGATCAACATCATGGCACACGGGTAGTAACCCATAAGTGCTCCGTTTTTCTTCTAATTCAAGCCTGAGCGAAGAATCTCAGTGCAGTGCACAAGCTCTGTTGCAGTGGCGAGGATCCTGAATTACTTTTTGGGTGGATTTTCAACTCCAAATTTTGCCCCAGGCAGCGCCGCTAGGCTACTCTTTTCGATTTCCAACACAGGCATCCGATCTCGCCACCCAGAGACCAGGAGAAATTACTAGAAGTTCATGTGAACAGAAAAAAATTCCAGCCTTCACTGGGGCCTCTAGCACTCGAGGCAGACACCATATGCAGCCCCAAAATGAGAAATAGAATTTGTGTAATCAAAGTCAACATCTATAACTGTAGAGTAGTACACCACAAAGCTAAAGCAAATGATGAATTTGTGCTTGCAGAGAAAAGCCTTGCTGTGGAAGCTAAAGAATAAATCAGTTTTTGTAACAATATTGCAACTTTATGGATCATAGCACCATCTGACCAACAAAATACAATAATGAATTTAAGGTCTTTGCTTGCTGCAAGCCATGACTATAAACACCATGGTTCTTGTTGTTCAATGACATCTTCCATTCAGGACACTTAACCAAAGGAGGTGTGTGCAGTGCATAAGCCAAGCATAATCACTACAGCGATACAACAAATCAAATGTATAAACATTGAGCAATGAAAATTACTACTGAACAGCTGAAGCTACTAACCTGTGTAAGCCCAAACATTGTACTGAAATTACTTTATCATTACACTAAATAATCTACACACAACTAAATTACTGTTGTATAACTGAAGCTGCCAATAATGTAAGCTCATAATCATTTTACTGGAAAAAAAAAAACCTTTTCATCACACTAAATTATCAATTTACAACAAAATTACTGTTGAATGGCTAAATCTACTAACTTATGCAACCTCATATTACAACATTATAATAACACTAAATTACTACATAACAAAATTAATGTTCAATTAAACAACTCAATCTAAAACCTCAGTTCAGGAGAGTTACTAATTCTACAACATTTGTTCTCACATGAGGCTCACTGCAGTGCAGTGGCTAGCAAATTTTTCAGATGGCTCAGCGCTTATAGATTCACACCTCAAGGAAGACAGATTTTAAAAAAAATAATCTGGATCTAAATATGGTCCAGGAAATGTTCTGAGAAACAAAGGCAGCCGGTCTAGTATTGTCCTCACCACCCGTCAAGAGTATAATCATCATAAAGTGCCTTGCCGACTGGTGTTGGTGATCATGCCTCTTCCCAATCTGCGATCTTCAACAACATGCATCGGTTTGTGTGTTGATACCTCTCTATGCAAAAAGGTTGTCAACAATTATCTTCCTCTGTCTCTTTTTCCACACATCTTTCGAGTGGTCACAAACATTACCAAAAAATAGAGACTGTCTCTTTCTGATAGTTGTGATAAGTTGTCTTTAAGCCCTTGCCTCTTTCAAAACATTTGGTCTGCTCTTTTGACTGTCCAAGGAATACTGAGGATTCTTCTAACAGCATCTCTTAATTAACTGCCCTTGATTCACATCCAGTGTGTAGGTCTATAAGAAATAAAAGGCTACCATTTGATGCCAAACATGCCTAGAGATAAGAAAAAAATTCTTTACTTATTTTTGTGTGTGCATTCTCACATGATAATAATAATAATATGAACTCAGTGGCCATTATTTTATTTTCATTTTGATACAAACTATCGCTAATGAATCAAGCATAACAAACTACATCAATGTAAGGATCCACACAATCTCTATGCCTTTTACATTTTCAACATTCTGACTTTGAATAAAAGAAGCATTCAACTATAACTTATAAGCTGACATGATGCAGTGACATCCGACAAACAATATAACAATGTTTACATTGAGAAGCATAACAATACTGCAGACATATAGAGAATGACAGAAATTTTGCACATGTAATTCTGTCTCACACCCTGGTGGTACACTCTCAAAGACTGCTGTTTGTCCATCTCTTGAGGTTAGATTTCCCATGTAAATCATTGTCTACCTCTTGCTCTCCACTTTCCCTTCTACGTGGTTTTTATTACAGTGTATATATTTTAATGTGGCCAAATTTTGTAACGTGTTTCTTATTTTATTTCTGTCACTATCTCTGTTGAACTACCAATCTGTTTGTGTTGAACTGGTACATGAAATACATGAATCTTACATCAGGCATGACATTTTTACTTCAAAATCAGCTATCATTACAAAAAATAAAAATACTGACAAGATTTAAACCATACAGTGGGAAGATCACATGATGTAATCTAAAACATGCCACTCAGGTTTCTCTCCTGTTCAATATCAGCTATACATGAACAAGCCACTGGAATAATAAAACATACAAAATGGGTAACCACACGACACAGTCTTTTTAAATATATTTAGTAATTGCTGGCAGACATTCCCAACAAAAAAATAAAAGTTCTTGCTTGCAGTAAGAAAACAAACAATTGCTTAAACTAAGTAAAGCCATGGTTACTGTTCAGAAGTATTCCAACAAGGATTAAATAAATATGAAGGAGAATACATGTGTCATTCAAAACAATGATTTCCTTTAGTTAAATTCTTAAGTAATGAAGATACACACAATATATTGCACAATTAACTGCCTGGCATGGTGGTTTTCAACCTTTTTTCTTTTAGGTGGCATCCCCGCTGAATATATGGCAAGACCTCCACTCTAGTAGTGCCCATGACAACAAAATATGCCAGGCAATAAATTATGCATGATAGTGTATCGTCATTAAAACAGGTCAATCTTTTTCTTCTGTGACTGCATTATACCTGCAATGCAGTCACGCAGAATTTAATATGTATAAGGAATTTATAGCATAAAATTATTTATGTAATAAAATCTGCAGGAAGTCCTGTTAGGATGAGCATCAATCCCATGTTCAGAAGGTAACATTAGGTGGTTTACTTTGCCAATTTGATCAAAACAAACTTTATATTATAACTTCAACGATGCTCATGTCTGGCTTGACCGTTTGCCTTATACTGATCTTTAAAACGAGAAATTCCAGACATTTTCATATTTAAAGTGCTTAAATAAATAAATAGCAATGAAATATGGAAATGTAACTGTTTATAGAAAAACAGTGGTCGAGTTTCTGAAAGACAACAAAATGAAGGTAAATAAAATAATTCCACTTCTACATGCCAAAGGTGTTTGTGGATCCGTTCAAATATAGCACTAAAACATGCCAAACAGCTGTTTTCATGTCACGCAGATGCCCTCATGTGTTCTTAGTAATGCGAGAAATTAACAGACATGCAAATCAGGATAAGATGAATTTTCTATGAACCAGTCAAATGCCTCTCCCCCCACCCAACCCCATAAATGCTTTTAAAAAGGAGGGGGCCATGAACCCGTGAATTCCCCCCCCCCCCCCCCAACAAATTCTTCAATACATGATCGTTACCACATGTTTTAAACATTAATTTATCTACACATTTTTTACACAAATTTCTTTAAAGGGACTAATCAATAAACATAAAATACATAAAGAGAGTGAAACTGTAAATTGAATACATTTTAGGGCCTTTAGAAACAGTATCAGGTGACTTGCACCATGACCATTTAATTTAGTCAAAATCGAACACTAAGGCTATATGCTAATTATGACGTCAAAATGGCTTTAACAAAGCCATTCTTTGCACAAGAAAACCGATCTAAACGTTTTTTTTAGTAAATATATTTATATCCTGACCTATTAAAAGCTGTACAGGCACAAACAAAACCAACACCACATGCTTTAGTAACTGCACCTGTGTCAGTTATGCAGTCTTTACTGGACTGAGTCACAGATGGTAATGCTTGACTCGTGGCTTCTTGGAGTGAGAAGATTAATTTCCCTTTGTAGGATAAACCCACAACCAAATCATCCTCAGACTTTTTTCACAGATGGACATATTAGTATAGTATCGAGTAGCCATCCCAAAGACGAATGCTAAAGTACTACTTTCGACATACTGGACAGGTTGCAATGTTAACTATTCTTTGCTTCGGTAACCCACACAAAAATATGGAAATTACCTGATCTGTTTATTTTCACGGTATATGCATGTTTACATAATACTATTTTGTATCTTACTGTAGTGTCATTTCTGGCTTTTTCTGCTGGTTTTATTTGGTCAGCTGATAAATACCTGTTACAACGCCTTCCACTTTTTGTGATTGTGTTCTTGTAAAGAGTTAACCTGTTATACATCGTGTTCTTTTCACATTGTACATTACTGTCTTAGTTTTGTCGCAGTTAAACCTGTTTCACTGGTGTAGTAATTCTTCTTCTCCCCTTATCTTACAGCTGTGGGTGTCGAGGGAGATACAAGGTTCTGCTTAGTAATTACCCTCATCAAATCTAGGATAAGAAATAAAAAAAATACCCTATTCCTTTTTACACATCATTGGAATTGATTCACCTGAGCATTACTGCATCATGTCAAATAAGAATGGCCAGAATTACAGCTGCTTAAGCAAATAAATTGCCCTGGCACAAACCTTCTGAAGATGAGCTACTGCTCCCTAGTCAGTTTAGGAATTATTTTTTTAACATGAATAAAAAAAAATAGGTGAATGGAACATCACATCTTGGCTGCAGAAGGTTCTTGCTTACTTCTGATGAATTAATTGAGAGGCGATGAGAAATTAATAAGCAGAAAGGGAGAAGACTGCATACATTCACAGACAAGACTGCAGGTTTATCACAGAACTGTACATTTCTTGCGTTTGCGATTGTTGAGTTTCACGGGTGGTCTCTCCTCTTCTTGAAATTTTCTGACAAACAGAGCAGAAAGTAACATATGTTACTTTAAGAAAAATACAAACATTGATTAAACGTGTGGTAATAGTTAAACGAAACATTTTTCTCACTGCACACTGGACAAGTCCATGAGCTCTCGGATCTCATCTTCAGTATATCCCCCAGCGTGCAGCGACTGATAACACCAGTTCTGTTTTGGTTTACTATTCTTCTTTGGCTACCTGTATAGTGCTCATGTTTGGTGACACCTCTTCTGACCTAAAGTTCTTGTAGTTCCTTGAGAGCATTGAGAATGTCAGCTCGGTCCATTTATTTTCCTGTACCTACTGTGGCCCTGCCAGCAGGCCAATCAGCTCATTCATTTCCTCTTACCCTAGAGTGTCCTGGCACAAAAATGAAACTAATTGCTTTCAGGTGAGATTTCATCTGCGACTCCAACCACTTTCTTAGAATCCACCCTGTCTCTATCTTCTTAAGCATGCTCATGGAATCACTTAGAAAGCAAACATGGAAAAATTGCTGTGTCTCTAGACACATCATTGCTTTTGTTACCTCCATCATCTCCATAGTCAGATAACTCGGAGTAGAGGCAAAAGTCCCGCTTTCATCCTTTACAGTTTTCCCTTGAACCATAACTGTGAAAGCCCATGAACTTTCTATGTGTTGAATGACACATGTGTATAGAACAAACTAGCCTTGACTTTTCCTGACAAACAGAACAGACAGTAACATTCTTCATTAGCTTTTTGAATCCTCAAGGTTTTCTGCTGCAGATATTCCCCCACTCCCATTCACCTCTACAATTGACCCTCTCTTTCCAAATGGAGAAGCGTGTGTAAATCAGCCTGGGTATTTTTTTCTCACTGTCTTCTTGGTTTGCATCGTGTACTACAACCATTTAACTCCCCTGTACAGTTTTTGCCTCTCTGTCATCTGCCATTCTCTCTATATACTTCAGCCATTTCAGTCTATTAGCCCTCATACACTGATCAACGGTGACTGAAACAGATTATAAATTTTGTTGTTACTTCTCATTTTCCATTTCCTGCTGTTTGTATCTTTGATGGGTGACAACACTGCACTTTCTAAAAACATTTATAAATTCTTTCCATCACAAATAGTTGTCAAGAATATTCTTACAGTCTTCATCTACATTTTTTTCCATTAATCCCTCCAGCTGTCATATGTTTTCATTTATTTTCTCAAAATTTGGCCACAAAATAACTGCTTCTCTGAGATGTTTTCTGTTAAGTGGCTATCCAAGAAATTTAGAATTTTTCAACATTCTTCTTCTGGAGCTACATCATTTAATAAAATTATGGGTAAAAGAAATGTTGATCTCCCCATGCCCCAGCCATATTCACAGTTCCTAACCCTGTCATTTTGGCACAAGGTTACGGGAGTGTTTCGCAATGCCGTTCATATCGCATGTTGTACATTTCAGTATGCCAGCAGTTTAAACACTTCAAAAACATTGAGAAACTGGTCCTAACACAAACCCGCTAGAGAGTGCTGCAACCTGTGTCACAGGCATTCTCTTTCTTGGAATAAAAACGTAAATGCAAGACATCACAGAAAGCAAACAACAGAGCGGAACACACCCGTAACTTTCAGGAAAGTTGACCAACCCAACAAACTTGTGAATGAAAAGTGATCTACTTTATTTTGAGAGATTAATGTGAACCTAACAAAATTATGCTGAAGGTGATCAGTGTACAAACCTGATTCTCTCTAAACTGAATTGACTTCATCACTTAGTTTTTGATATACTCAGTTTTTTTTTGTGTGTGGCTAGTAAAGTAAAGTAAAATAACCACTGGTCTGTGTTTACACCTTCAAGAATATATTTTTTATCGATTCACCATATTCAATTAAAAGAAAAGGTTATAACCCCAGTGCCTGACATGGTTTCTTACTCACTGCTGGCACATGCATTTTCATAATCTTCTACTTTGCATCGATTGTGATGACTGCCATCTGGTATCTAGCGGTTGTGATCTTGAGGAACACTAGTCCTTAAAAGGGCCCAATAGAAGCTTATGTATATCCTACAAGCTATTTTTGTTTTGGCCTACACCCTTACTAGCCCTCAGGACTGTACTAACCTCCCTTTCATCTCTTGTCCTTGGGTATGTTAAATTATCACTATCAACTGCAGGCTGGTCATTTCCATGCATGCCCAGTTCTTCCATGCAGCAGCCACTCCGAAGGAAATCAAATGATTTTTCCCATAGAAGTTCCTTATAATCTTTCCTAAATGGAATTGAAGACAGCATGCATGGGCTTCACTAGGCATTCCTCCTAGGTCATATAATCAGATTAGCACCTGAAACTCATCATTTATCTACCACCATTCAGCATTGATGTCTTGGGGCATACAGTGCTAGCCTCACATTTTTATAAACCAATCAGCATCTGGTGGGGAATGTGAGCCAATATCACACTGGTAGAAATTTTTTTCCAGTATTTTTCCTAGAACCCATTTTTAGAATGTCGACCTGGATGCCTTGACAGGTTTTAAAATTCACAGAAGGGATTCAAACTTACAGCTACTGAGCTGACACACAGGCGGGCTAGTCACTATGCTACAATTTCAAAAGAGATAAAGATCAATTTAACCAACGCCCTATAAAGAAGATCCTTACATCTCTCATCAATACTTTGATTAGGTAGCTAAAGTAAAGGAAAAAAAATAATAATACGGTAGTCTCATATGTTTATAACAAATAATCACTGGGTGGGTAACGTGGAAACAGGGGTTTGTGAGCTGAAATGTTATAGAAAGATTCACAATATCATGGACCAAGAATAAAAGAAATACTGACACCATAAAAGATCTGAACATCAAGGAGCATTGGCTAGTAAAAGCATCTTGTCTAGGGAACATACATATTTTGGTCATATTAAGTGCCATGGCAGATTGGAAACAATAATAGCAGAAGGTGTGGTAAAAAAGAAAGAGGGGCAGGCACCAAGCAGCATGGAGATGGGCACAGGATAAAAGCGACTCCTTGGGTAGGAAAGTGCACAAGGTGGGAGATCTGGCAAGAGACCAAGTTTATTTCAGACAGGACGTGATAAGAGTAATGTTGTGCGAAGGAACTGCTATATGATGATGATTAGTAATGTGGACATTATCACACTGGTCAAACTTTCTTCCCAGGGTGCTTCCTAGAACAGAATTCTATTTTAGTCTGAGTTGACCTGGGAGCCCAGGTAGTTTTACAATTCACCACAGTGGGGATTTAAACCTATGACCATTGGGCTGTCAAGTAAGCAGGCTAGTTACTAAATACTTCAGGCTAGCTGTCTTCTTAAGTACTCAAGTATCTCATACCTGACAATTCTGACCAGTTCATAGAATGATTGATCAACGTTGAGTCTGTGTTTTGCACTAGCTTCTATGTAACGGATCTTTAAGTTGTGAGCAAGTTCTTGACCCTCTGTCGATGACACCTAGGGGATTTTGACCAACAAGAAATGAGTATATTGCTCTAGCTTGATACCACAGGATGAATTTTGCAATTAAAAAATTAAAACATTAGGTGATATGCAAAATGACATTACTAAATTCAAAGTTGAGAGGAACAACTTCATTGCCCTGGGTTATTCCACATCACTCTGCAGAATGACACTGCCGAGAGCATCACACAAAGCGGGAACTCTGTGGCTCAGCGGCGATCATCAATAAACTCAGTTACTGTACTCATGAACTGAAAGACGCATATGTGAAATTCTTCTTCTACGTGCGTTAAGTTTTTGATGCTCAGGTTAGACCATCATGCCTCCATGAATTCGCATGTCAGCAGCAGGCCCTTTATAGTTCCCCATAGCTTGCTCTGCACACTTTGCTCTTGAGGCCAGGTTTTTTTCTCGAAGTTTCGAAGTTGTAGGTAGAGTAGGCAAGTCTGCAGTATGTGCTTAGGTGTTTGTGGTCCTGTCTGACAGGAACACTGTGGACACTATAGCCTTTATTTCTGTGAAATGAACCCACAGCCTTCAGAACGCAAGACATATGGCTAGATCACTTTGCCATGGAGACTGATTATCACCAATAAAGTATTAAAGTCTTCTTATAGTCCTTGCAGTATGGTGTTGGTAGTCATGTATCCATAACCTTCTGTCTTGTATGCTTACAATACAATAATCTTCCATGTCATGTCAAAGTGTACAGAATCTTCTCTCTCGGGTTTTCCTCTGCCTGTTTTCCCCTCCAACTTTCTTACCATTACAGTGTACTCCAGTTTTCTCCTTATCACGACATGACACATTGTCTCCTTCTGATGTGGGCAATCAGTTCTTTTTGTGAGTCAATTTCTTTCTAGGAATCTTCATAATGCCTTTTATCTGTCCAATGTACTCTCATCATCTGTCTATAAAACCACATCTCCATCGCTTCGAAACAATTTTTCACTAACTATCTATGATTCACTTCTGTATGAAACTAACTATAAAACCATAAATGCTGATTTGCATATAACCATAAAGAATTCAAGCGCAATGTACATCATGAATCACATAGCAGGCATATTACACTGTTCACCATCTATCATCACCATGTGCCTTGCCATACAGGGCAGACTTTGGCATGTCTCGCCAGTTTTCAGTCTTTGCAGTTTTAGATCAAGTCAGTTGATGATTTCTCTCTACTGCCACAAACTTAGACCATCTAGCATTATTTCTCTTGACCTGCCTCTGATTTTTGCTTTTTTACATTCATCATGACATTCCACAATGCTTCTTTTTTCATCACATGGCGGAAAAACTTTGTATCGTCCTTACAGTGCAGTACAGAACTATACTTCATAGCTCTTCCTAGTTAATCATTATCAGTTACATCAGTTACACTGACCCCCCGTATGGGTTCCGGGGCCCCATTGTGGGGAAAACAAAAATAGACCCACTGCCTCCCCAAAAGCATATCGTAAGAGTCGACTAATTGGGGAGCTTCCTTTGAAGTCAGAGTGCATCTGCCGGAGAGGCAAGGAACCAACAGTCTGTATTCAAGAGAATGAGATCTGTAAAACTGATGCACACACAACACTCAGGTTCTGGAGCAGGACTGTAGTTCAGTAGTGGACGAGCAACCAGAACCTTCTGCCAGAGTTTACAACTGGTGAACGTGAAGAAGAAGTTACACTGACAAGTCAATGTAAGCAGCAATCGTCTCAGAAACTACAACTCTGCCATCTCTTAACTTTTCCTAACTTTTTTCATACACACTCCTGATATTTTCTCCAGGTCATGCCAGTGAGGTGGAAACCAATACTGACTGGCTGGTTCTGTGCCAGGTGGTGGTGAGTTGATACAAGACAAGCTAGATGTTGTAAGGGTCCTTTGGGAGTGAGTAAAATTGCACAGGCACAAACAGATCATCACAGTCTGAGGACAATGGTGCTGCAAGGAATGACCAGGGGATCTGGTCGATGCTCAGTGCACAAGGGAACGGCAAGACGTACATACAACAACACCGTTACTGATGGCATCTGAATTGGAACTCTGCTTATGCTGCTGAAGATGGGGATGGAGCATTTTTGGAAATGTCCCAAGTGCTGTGATGTTGATTCTCAATTCAACCCTAACGCTAAAAAATTCACTGCTTAACATCAGAAAAAGTTTAACGTAATATTTCAGAACTCTCACCAACTAGTTGTCAGAATCTTTCCAGATGATAGTGTTTCACTGTGCTTTAGACAGGAATGGGTATCAGAGCCAATTAAAAAACCAGTTAGGGTCAATGATGAAGTTCTTCCTCTCTATGACAAAAAGCCTGGATGGTATTATAGAGATCATATACTGCCCATGCAGCATGATCCCTCTCTCAGCCTGCTTTGTTAACTCCAAAGGAAAGGTAACTCTAATACAAATAACTAACAATTAGAAGGTAGAGGCCAGAAGAAGAATAGATGTCCATACTTACCAACCGCTGAGACTCTAAATCTGATTTGTTAGCTACCAACAGCATTGGAAATTCATCTCGATCTTTAACTCTCAATATCTGTTTATGGAACTTGTAGATTTCCTCAAAACTGGAGAGAGAAAAAACCCAGCAAAACCAATTTATTCCTGACAAAACAGTACAAGTAAATAAGAACAACAGAAGAAGTTCCTGACTTCTTCTTTTCTCTAGATATGTTTGTCTTTAAGCTTTAAAGAAACATCTAGTCTGAGAATGGAGGTGGAGGTAGTCAATGCTGCCTTCCACTGGCTTGAGAGTCAGCTGTACACACATGATGTGATCGTAACTGACTCACAGAGCATGTTGAGAAAGGTGAAGACAGGCACGCTCTATGCAGAGTGGCAAGTAAAACTTCAGAGGTCCCAGGTGGGTAGCATCTTCTGGATATTTTCTCCAGGTCATGCCGGTGTGTTGGGAAATGAGCAGGTAAATAGACTGGCCAGCTTTGGACCACTTGTTTGTGAACTGATGTATGGGAAGCTAGATGTTGTGAGGGCCCTTTAGCAGTGAGTAAACACTGAGAAGGCACAGACAGATCATTACCGTCTGAGGAGAATGGCGTTGTGAGGAGTCACCATGGGATCTGGCCAATGCTCAACACTCAAGGGAAAGTGGAGACGGCTATACAATCAGACAGTTACTGGTGCCATCAGATTTGGAACTTCTCACTTGTAGCTGAAGATGTGGGAAGGAGCGCTTTTGGGAGTGTCCTGAGTGTTATGCTGTTGATTCTTAATTCAACATTCAAAGAAACATCTGGTGCAAGCCTTGGTGTTTCGATGGACCATCTGTACACTGCTCACATGGGTGACATCTAGCCACTAACCACATTCCTCAAATTACATGGTTTTCGACCATTTTACAAAGATTCCCCCACGACCTTCTCCAGCTTTTTTTAATAGGCCAACCAGGTCAATGGAAATTCCTATGTTTGTGCAAGTTCCAGAGACCAGTGTGTTTTTATGTAACTTCATTAAAAAGAGTTTACAGTGTTTTATTTTGTCTTACCTGCTTCTATCAATCACAGAGTACACCAATAGGAAGCCTTCGCCCGAACGCATGTACTGTTCCCTCATTGCACTAAATTCCTCTTGGCCAGCTGTGTCTAAAACTGGGGGGAAAAAAACAACCAGTGAGTGTCCTAGAACATTTAGCAAAGTGTTGAAAAGTGCTAACATTAATGAAATTTGTTTCTACAGATTTGCCATGTTGTCAGTAATGTAAAGTGACAACTTGTGGAGTTCAGTGGTGAGGCGTGCCAGTAACAGATTAATTGCTGCTTACACATTCGACTGCAAAAGACAAATGCATTATTTTACTATTTATTGTTCAGCCAGTAGCATGTCATTTGCAGAACCTTGCTTCCATAACAACCCTCCAGGAAATTTCTGTATTACAAGCATGTCTTGTGTCCGATTTACCCATCTTCTCTTTGGCCTTCCTCTTCCTCTCTTCCTAGGCATCTACCCCTCCATTATGGTTCTCTCCAAACTTTTGTGTCGTTTCAAATGACCAAAATATTTATTTATTGTTACTGTTTACTATTTATTACAAATATGCCACTCAGTTTAGATCTCGCCGAATATGTAAAGCTTGTGAACAGTAACAGTATTAACACAGTGAGAGAAAAAACGCTTGCCGAATGCTTACGACACTTACGCAGAAACATACAATGTGTGAGCTGCCAGTTACTGATTCTACAAAGCTAGCTGCACATACATACTATGAAAAGTGAAGTCACAAGAAGAAAGCCATCATGTGGTACCCTTTTCAGGGTAATTTCTAGAAGAGTCATCCAGTATAAGTGTGCTCTGTGATTCAAATGTATTATCACCACCAACATCTTTTATAATAATACTGAGCATTCTTTTTTTTTAATTTTTTGTGTGTGGATAAAAACAAACAGTTCTTTTCTCGAAAGTATTTCTGCTAAATTGACATGGAAAACTTTACTCCAGCAGAAAGTCCTAGTTGTCATCCACTTCTAGACTTTGGTCTCATCCTAGTACCGGTACAAATTCATTTTACAGATCTGGTTTTATTTGTATGCTGACTAGTCATTCTTCACCCCTCAGCAGATGCACTTCGACTTCAAACAAAACAAAGATCCTATCTACTTTGGACAGGTCCCCAATCTGGACTGCATTTCTAGAATGACAGCAAAGAGGTGTCGATAGGACTTCTGTCCTCGCTTATTTTATTACTATACTGCTGTAGTTATGTTATGAAAGTCTGATCCTAATTTCGAAATTTTTCTTCCTTCTGTTGCATGACTGCTCCATTAGAATTTCGCATCAAAGAGGAACAATGAGCAGGGATACAAATCCTCTGGTTGGGTGTCAAATGTTCAGAAATCCGTTGCAGACTTTCATCGCTATATGGGGCGAAGTGCACTATCATGTAAAACTGTTTTTAATGGATTTAGAAGTTTAAAAGTGGCTGAACAAGTGCAACGCATGAAGAATGAGCAGGACGGCCATCAACCTCCACTGCAGATGACATTTCAGCAAGTTCGAGAGATGGTTCTGGCGAACAAGCGAATTACCATAAATTAGGTAGCATGTGTGTTAAACATGGTTCTGCCCATCAAATCATCCACAAGCCAGGCTTTCATAAAGTCTGTGCATGGTGGGTACCATGGAAATTTACTGCAGAACACAAGCCTCAGACAATGACGAAAAAATGTAGCTTCATGACCAAATGAAACCTTTTATAGTGAAACTCTATCCTCATGTAAATAAACTGCAGCAGAATGAAAAGTGTAGATAATTTATTTTACTCTTCCTCTTCTTGCCTTCCAGTTAGCTCATCAAAAGGTTGGTAGGAATGCAAGGATCTTTTGTGTGGTCTCCCTCGTTTGTGTGGTCTTGCTCTCTGCTTATATTTCTTTAACACATGCAATATGATTGGCACCTTTCCGTCTTTTCTGACGATAGTGTCATATTGTGCTATGAGGAGGCAAGGGACTCATAGCCCACGGCAATGGCGAGTGTGACTAGCAAGAACCTGCCTGTGTCAAGAAAAGTCTTCCACAATGATAGCATGGGATTTCAGGACCATTGTTGTCAACATTTGTGTTTAATCCATTTTTTCTCAGACGCCCAGCTTTCATCTTTTCTGCAACCATTTCTCTCTTCCCTCCCATTCCCTTCCACACAACATTGTCCATGCCATTTTGTTCCCATGAATCCACCTCAATACTTGTATCATTCATGTCCTGCTTGTATTTATGATGTAGTAAAGGTCGACATCTTCTACCTGTCTTTAATTCACCATAAAGGATGTCCTTAGGGACTCTGCCAACCTCCATGTGTGACCCAGCCACCTGAGCCTTGGTAGACTGTGCACTAATAAGACTGTTGTAGTAGCTGCTCATTCCAGTACCTCAGTGTTTGTGATTTTGTCCTGCCACTTAATGCCAAGTAATGTAACATGACAATAGTATAACAATCAACAGTTGAGAAATGTGTAGCATGAGGTACATAATATATTGTAATGACTTACTATCCAGTCTGGCTACATGGTCATCAATCACACACTGCTTTGTGTAGGAGTCTTCTATTGTTGGATCATAGTCAGTTACAAAATATGACTGGGAAAGAACAGATGAAATCAGGCTTTATACATTTGTTTTACACAAAGAAAGATACAATATGACTCACAAAATCATATTTACTGAGCCCCTTGTTATACAAAGTGCTGGCCAAAAGTCCTGACTAGAAAGAAAATGTCTTTATTCCCTAGGGTACCAATTAACTCATCCTACATTTGATTTATAATTAATTTAACTGCCCTCTAGTACCGAATGGGTAGGGAATTTAAATTCTTCTTTTCTTCTCTTCTGCCTTCCTAGCTCCTAATGGAGCATAGCCCCTCAACCAACTCATGTCAAGTCGTTCTATCCTTTACTGTCGCATGCAGCTCTCCCCATCTTTCTAACTTCATTCTCCAGATCCCTTCTCCATATGTTTTTTGGCCTTCCTTCATTCCTCTGCCCCTGTGAATTCCAATACAAAGACATTCTAGTTATATTGTTCTCTGGTTTTCTCAAAGTGTGTCCTATCCAAAAGAATTCAAATTACATACAGTATATTCCTTTCTGATATAACCAGCACCTGAACTGCCATACTTTGCAATCTCTGCAAGACACTGGCAACAGAAAATCTTGTTTCCCAACTAAACCAATTAAAGGCCTGTGTGTTTTCTTCCTCACTGTGAAAATTATTTCACTGAACTGTTTTAGTGAAGGTTTGGGAAATGAAAAAGGTCTGACGGGTCAATATATTTAGAATGAGTGGGTACTGGAAAATCTCAAATTTCAAAGCCAATGTTGCTAGCCACAGGAACCTTTCTTTGTGAGAGGGTGCACTGACTATCTATCCATTCTTTTCACAACAGTCTTTTTTTGTTTTTTTTTATTTAGTTTCTCAACAATTTTTTTCTCTCTTCAGTTTAGCAAGATCTCCATCAGCATATGTGACTTAGGCATTGCGAACACGCTTCACAATTCTGAGGTGCTGAGTTCGATCCCAGCTGATGGTGATTTGGAAGCATACCTCTTACGTTGATTTCGAGAGTAGTATCAAGAGCTGACAGATCTGAAGAAACTAGGAAACTTGGACACACACAAATTTTGTCTGATGAAATTATAAACAACCAAAAATGTTGGGGTTGATTTTTGCAACGCCTCGTAAAGGATACAAACATAACTAAACAAAACAAAGAACTGCACTGCACTATTCATTAGGCCTGTTGCCAAGAGCAAGACAAGGACCACCCCCCTCCCCCAGAAATGTCAGTGCCATTTTCCCCGCAAGTTTCTGTATTTTTTGCCTTGACAAGATTTGGGGATCCAGCAAGGACATACTTTTCTCATGTGTTCTAGTCTGTTGTGTACAATTATATTTACTGTTCCTTCATTCAGATTTAGTTCAATAGCTATCTACTTGTTTTTCAATCACAGTCAATCATTTATTCCCTCTTGTTGAATCCCATTGTGGAAATTTGAATATAGTTTTCTGGATCTTCGCAGAAGAGCAATATATGACTAATAAAACCTAAACTGGTACATAAATTTTCTGCATTTACAAAAGACAAATGAGTTCCATATTTTGTTCAGGCTTTCAAAGGTTTGAAAGAACTGAAAGCTCACAATTAAAACAAAAACTGGTGTTCTCAGCACTCTCCATTAAAGCAGTGAAACTTTGTCAACTTAACTGCATCAGGAGAAACAGCTAAATAGCTTTCACATGCAATGTCAAGAAAAATACTTGGCATTAAGTGGCAAGACAAGATCACACTGAGGAAAGAGCAGGGGTTGTTTATTAATATCTTACCCCAAATGACCTCACAGCACAGACCAATATTTCAGAGGGTGGTAAGACCTGGTTTCCCGGCTTTCTGATGCTTTTAATGACCCCAAAACATCTAGAACTGGCCCTAACCCCAACCCACCTACATCACCTACTACAACCACCATGAGGGAATGCAGCCTAGGTCACACGACTGCACGCAGCTTATCTACCACTCCCTGAAATATTACTGTCCTGTGACCTGTCGATTTCCCCTGCTTGGGGTAGGATATTTATAAAGCACCAGAGCAGGTTTTAGAACAGCTTTCAGAAAACATTTCTCAATGCTCATTCTCCAAAGGCTTCTGGGGCTGGGTCACACATGGAGAATGGTAGAGTCCCTAAGGACATCCTCTACGGTGAATTACAGACGTGTAGATAAAAGATGTACAGGTCGGCTTCTACTACGTTACAAAGATGGGTGCAAGTGGGACATGAATGATATAGGTATTGAGGCACATTCGTGGGAACAATAAAATGCCATGAACATGTGTGGAGGGGCAAATCATGGAGGGAATGAGAATGAATGGAAGAAGATGGCAGAAGGGATTAGAGTTAAGAATCTGAGAAGAAGCATACTAAATACATGTGATGGCAATAATGGTCCTGAAAACCCAACGACTCAATCTATGCAGGTTTTGCTAGTCAAGTTTCACTTGCCATGGACTTGTGAGTCCCATGACTTCTCATCATAGCACAATGTCAATATACCCCTATGGTCTGGAAAGACGGGAAGGTGCCAACAAAAACAAGGTTCTTATAAAGTGAAAGTCGATCTACTTGATTGACTTGATCCGCATGAACTGTTTAGTTTATCACAAGCAAAACAAAAATAAAAAAAAACATTTCAACAATAAAATAAACTAATCATAACAACTTCACACTGAGCAAGTAAAAGGTATGAGTGCTGCAGTCTGCTTCTAAGCTGTGCCTTACTACAACCACCCACTTCAGGCTGTAAAGCAGACAGATAGTATTATCTAAGAGACCCATCCCACTCGCTACTTGATCCTTGGCGACTGCACCAGATTCGAGATACTGTCGATATTAGGTTGCACCGACAATGCAGTTAAAATGCATCTTAACATGGATGAAAAAACACAGCAAACTATACCTGAATAAACTGAATAGTTAAGGCACTTTTTCCTACTCCACCGCCTCCGACAACTACTAATTTATAACTCTGACTGTAGTTGTTACTGTCAGTGGCATTACGAGACATCTTTGCATCCAGACATAAGAAAACAACAGGGAAAATAAAACGACAACTCGCCAGGTTCGCCGGGATAAAAATAAACCCCGTGGTGGGTGAAACAAACAATTGTGATGTTAATTTCAATCTAAAACAATCTATGCAACTTACATTAACCAAACTTTGCTAACAAGCAAATATATCCAGTATTTATATAGGAACAGCAAAAAAAAAAAAAAAAACTTATACTGTACATCCCAGTTATCATCGTGATGGGTTAAACATAATACCATTGTTTCAATTAACAGTTCAAATTACTACCTTTTAATTACTTATACTACAAGATATTGAATCAAGTGGCTGTGTTGAATTTATGTTTCCTAATTCCTTCCAGTGAGTTATTATTACATATTTTACAAAAAAAATAACGTATATATATACTTTAAAAGGTAATAAGCGAATGACGTATCGTATTGTTTTAATCGCTCTCATTCATAGCTAATATATAGATACACATAACGAAATGGCCCTTTAAAAAATAATAACCAAAAATGTTTAATAATTAATTCATGTTGTAAGATCGACAAGAAGATGGACACATGATATAAGTGACTCCTTGAGTGTGAAAGTACATAAGGCGGGAGAACTGGCGAGAGACCGAGTTTTTTTTTCAGGCAGACTGCGATGAGAGCGACGTTCTGCAAATGACCTGCTACATAATGATGATGATGTAAGATATACTGTTAATTTATATAATAATAATATTTCGCCTTTAAAGTTATCGAGTCTGTGTAAACTTATAATTACCTAATTATGTTGTTTAAACGTTTTGTTTTTTAAATTTGGCACTCAATTACTGTGTGGCAAATATAGTATTACACTCCTGGGAATGGTAAAGGGACATAATACTTCCCATCCTTTTTAGGATCAAATTTTTCGTTATTTGAAGCCAAACTCTGGCTCTAGCCAGGGGCTGCAATATAGCCTGGCCATAAATATGGCCTAAAGGCTGAATGCGGTTTCTGGGACCTCTCCAAGGTGATCCTCATCCACATGGTGGCACATTGTGTCATCGGGGGTTTATCGCTTGTGTGATGTCCTTGTGGGGTAGAAAGTCAGTCAGTCAGTCAAAGGACATAATTGACAAGGCTCGCTAGTTAACAAGACACCTCTTTAAACATGCACAGACATTTTCTTTAAAAGTATTTCTTTATACACTTCATATTATTTCAACTCCTTCAAAGTCGGAGTGCATCTGTCTGAAAAGCAAGGAACCAACAATCTGCATACAAGTAAGTCAGATTTGTAAAACGGATGTGAAAGCAACACTAAGGTTCTGGAACAAGACTAATGTCCAGAGTTGGACGAAGAACCAGAACTGTCTGCCGGAGTTTAACGCCGGTGAACGCGAAGAAGTAGCAGCAGCAGCAGAAGAAGAAGAAGAAGAAGAAGAAGAAGAAGAAGAAGAAGAGAAGAAGAAGAAGATATGATTTCAAGCATGAATTTATTTTCATTTGCCATTAAGCATATTTTATTAATAGTAATAATTATATGAAATTATGGGGAGACATGGTCTAGGAGAAATGAATGAAAATGGAGAATTGTTCACAAATTTTTGTGCAGGTAACCAGTATGTTATTGGTGGAAGTATTTTTCCCCATAAAAGAATACACAAGGCAACATGGGAATCACCAGACCATAAGACAACTAATCAAATTGACCACATATGTATTAACAAAAAGTTTAGATCATCCCTTTACGATGTTAGGGCTTTCAGAGGTGCCGATGTATTTACTGACCATTTCCTGGTGATAAGTAAAATCAAGTTGAAACTAAAAAGATATATAACATCTTATAATCATAGAAACCAATATAATGTAGGCTTTCTCAGAGATAAAGAAATTAAGGAACAGTTCTCAGTCACGGTCTCTAATAAGTACCAGGTGTTGCAGCAGTTAGCTGAAGATGTCAACACATAAGTCTGCTGGGATCAGATCAAAGGAATCTGGAATGAATCTTGCGTAGAAGTTCTTGGCAAGAAAGAAAGGAAACATAAAGCATGGATAACACCAGAAACCATTAAACTGATTGAAGACAGGAAAAGTAAAAAGGCAGAATTAAACAATAGCAAAACTAGAGCTGCTAAAGCTAGAGCTCAGGAGAATTACACAGAAGCCAACAAGGAAGTTAGGAGGCATATAAGGGCAGATAAAGTGAAATATCTAAATGATCTAGCACAAGAAGCGGAGACAGCAGCAGCAAAAGGTAACCTCAGAGAACTTTACAGCAACACAAGAAAATTAGTAGGTAAATATAGTCAGCCAACTGGATCAATCAAAAATAGTCAAGGAAAGGTACTTACTAACACTAAAGATCAAATGGACAGATGGGTTGAATATTTTGAAATGCTTCTAAATAGACCAGGCCCAGAGGTTCCCCCAGATATCCAGCCTTTAGAAATGGAACTGAATATCAACTGTGAGATACCATCCAAAGAGGAAATTAGAAAAGCTATAAATCTTCTTAAGGAAGGAAAGGCGTCAGGCCCAGATGGTATCCCAGCTGAAGCCATCAGGACCAACATAAACACATCAACAGAATTGCTACATAGATTATTCAGTAAAGTCTGGGAGACCGAAGAAATACCAGCAGACTGGAGGGAAGGATATCTTGTGAAACTGCCCAAAAAAGGTGATCTACAGGAGTGTGAAAACTATAGAGGAATTATGTTGCTGTCAGTTCCTGGAAAAAATATTAAGTAGAATTATTTTGGAAAGATTAAAAGATGCTATTGATAAAATGCTAAGAGATGAGCAGGCGGGTTTTCGGTCCAACAGATCCTGTACTGATCAGATAGCCACATTACGTATTATAATAGAGCAAAGCATTGAACTGAACTCACCACTTTACATTGGATTTATAGACTATGAAAAAGCATTTGACAGCATTGATAGGGAATCTCTCTGGAAATTGATGGGGCACTATGGAATCCCACAGAAAATTATCAACTTAGTAAAGGCAACATATAAAGACATGAAATGTCGAGTTCTTCATGAGGGAAAGCTAACAGATGCATTTGAAATAAAAACAGGTGTGCGACAGGGATGTCTTTTGTCGCCTCTCCTATTTTTACTGGCTATAGACTGGACTATGAAAACAGTAACTGCTAACACCAAGAATGGAATTCAGTGGACCCCTACAAAACAGCTTGATGATCTGGACTTCGCTGATGATATTGCCCTTCTGTCCCATTCACGGAATCAGATACAAGATAAATTAAATATACTTAATGCGAGATCACAGCAGCTTGGTCTGAAACTCCATAAAGGAAAGACAAAGATAATGAGAATAAATCAGGCAAATAGTAATGTGGTTTCTCTTGATGGCACCCCACTCCAAGACGTGGAGTCGTACACCTATTTGGGCAGTAATGTAGATAAAGATGGAGGAACTGATAGAGATATTAAAATAAGAATACAAAAGGCAAGAGGGGCTTTCATAGCACTAGGGAATTTGTGGAGGTCAAAAGAAATTAAAAGAAATACTAAACTAAAAATTTTTAATTCTAATGTCAAATCAGTACTATTGTATGGGGCGGAAACATGGAGAACAACGAAGGCAATTACTAATAAATTACAGACATTCATTAACTGGTGCCTGCGCAGAATAGAGGGAATAAAATGGTATGATAGAATAACTAATGTAGAACTTTGGGAGAGAACTAAACAGGCTCCAGTGGATCAGGAGGTGAGGAAAAGACGCTGGCGTTGGATAGGGCACACACTGAGAAAACAGGAGAACAGCATAACTAGAATGTCTTTGCATTGGAACCCACAGGGGCATAGGAATAAAGGAAGGCCAAAAAACACATGGAGAAGAGAGCTGGAGAATGAGGTTAGAAAGATTGGGAGGACATGGGGAGAGCTCCATGTAATGGCGAAGGATAGAACGACTTGGCGTGAGTTGGTTGAGGGCCTATGCTCCATTGGGGGATAAAAAGGCAGAAGAAGAATAATTATATGTTTAATGACAAACAGATCTGAAGTAATTATATAAAGTCCTTGCGTCCATGTTAGGACGAAATTTTTTGTTCTTTGAAGCCCCACCCTGGCTTTTGCCAGGGACCGCAATATAGACAGGCCATGCATATGGCCAATTGTCTGAACGCGGTTTCTGGGACCTCTCCACGGTGATCCTCATCCACATGGTGGCACTTTGTGTCATCGGGTGTTTATCACTTGTGTGATGTTCTGGTGGGGTAGAAAGTCAGTCAGTCAGTCTGAAGTAATATGAAGTTTATAAACAAATACTTGAAACGATAACTTCTATAGACGGTTAAAGGAAGCATATAAACCCCTTATAAAATACTTTTAGCAAGGTGCTAGAGAAGACTATTGCTGTTAAACAACAACAAAAATTTTGGAAAGGGAAGAGCTCCTGCCAAAAAGTTTGGGTAGTTACCGGTCAAAGTAATTTGGTAATCTGGTACGATCAAAGAAATATACCTAAATGCAGCTACTTTTGATGTTTATGAGGGGTTCCAGATTAGACAGGAGATAGTAATGGCAGAACTTGATCTTGAGTATGCTTACAATAGAGTTAGACATGATATTTTGATATCTGCGCTCATTGAGAAGAGGGTTTGTCCGTGGCTGGTTAACTGGATACCAGCTAGCTGTCCTGAATTCCCGTTTGGTTGCCCTGTGTCTGGGTACATGGACCTCAGAACAATCGCCCCGGAACTACCTCCAGGGTTCTGCAATTTCACCAGTGCTCTTTAGCGTATGTACACGCAAGATTGCAGAACTTGAAGCGCCAAGTGTTGGAAGGATATTGACATTTGCAGATGGTGTTCTTGCTTATAGGCAGAGGAGCAATAGAAAACACAGTCCACGAGCTACAGGAAACTGTAGACAAAGTGACTGACTGGCGAGCAAAGATGGGTGGTTTCCTCAACTAAGAAAAGGCAGCTGTTTTATGGTGCTATCTGAACAATAGATTTATAAAAGGCAATGTTCCAAGCCTGACAG